GAATCAGAACTACAAAACCCAATTCCATTGAAGTTGGGAAATTGTGATAAACGTAAATAAAAACAGAATACAATGATTTGCAAGTCCTTTTCAACATATATTGAATTGAATAGACTACAAAGGCAAGATATTTAATGTTCAAACTCAAAAACTTTATTTACTTATTTTTTGCAATAATAATTAACTCAGAACTTCATGGCTGCAACACGTGCCAAAGTAGTTGAGTCAGGGGCATGTTTACCACTGAGTTACATCACCTTTCCTTTTAACAACACTCAGTAAACATTTGGGAACTGAGGAGACTAATTGTTGAAGCTTTGAAGGTGGAAATCTTTCCCATTCTTGCTTGATGTACAGCTTCAGATGTACAACAGTCCGGGGTCTCCGTTGTTGTATTTTACACTTCATAATGCGCCACACATTTTCAATGGGAGACAGGTCTGGACTGCAGGCAGGCCAGTCTTTTTCTACAAAGCCACACTGTTGTAATTCGGGCAGAATGTGGCTTGGCATTGTCTTGCTGAAATAAGCAGGGGCGTCCATGAAAAAGACGTTGCTTGGATGGCAGTATATATTGCTCCAAAACCTGTATGTACCTTTCAGCATTAATGTTGCCTTTACAGACGTGTAGGTTACCCATGCCTTGGACACTAATGCACCCCCATACCATCACGGATGCTGGCTTTTGAACTTTGCGTGGAAAACATTCAGGATGGTTCTTTTCTTCTTTGACCCGGAGGACAAGATGTCCACTATTTCCAAAAACAATTTGGGACTCGTCAGACCACAGAACACTTTTCCACTTTGCATCAGTCCATCTTAAATGAGCTCGGGCCCAGAGAAGCCGGCAGTGTTTCTGGGTGTTGTTGAAAAATGGATTTCACTTTGCATAGTAGAGTTTTAACTTGCACTAACAGATGTAGCGACGAACTGTATTTACTGACAGTGGTTTTCTGAAGTGCTCCTGAGCCCATGTGGTGATATCCTTTACACATTGATGTCTGTTTTTGATACAGTGCTGCCTAAGGGATAGAAGGTCATGGGCATTCAATGTTGGTGTCCGGCCGTGCCGCTTATGTGCAGTGATATCTCCAGATTCTCTGAACCTTTTGATGATATTATGGACCGTAGATGTCGAAATCCCTAAATTCCTTGCAATTGTACTTTTAGAAACATTGTTCTTAAACTTTTCGACTATGCGCTCACGCAGTTGTTCACAAAGTGGTGAACCTCGCCCCATCCTTGCTTGTGAATGACTAAGAATTTTTGGGGAAGCTGCTTTTATACCCAATCATGGCACCCACCTGTTCCCAATTATCCTGCTCACCTGTGGAATGTTCCAAATAGGTGTTTGATGAACATTCCTCAAATTTCGTAGTATTTTTTGCCACCTTTCCCAACTTCTTTGTCACGTGTTGCAGCCATCGAATTCTAAAGTTAATGATTATTTGCAAAAAAGCAATAAAGTTTATCAGTTAGTAGATTGAATATTTTGTCTTTGTAGTATATTCAATTGAATATAGGTTGAAAAGGATTTGCAAATCATTGTATTCTGTTTTTATTTATGATTTACACATCTTCCCAACTTCATTGGAATTGGGTTTTGTTGATTAAATTACTTTCATGGTGGTTGTCATAGCTAGCTGTATTACAGACTACACTAGCTAACAAACCAACATCTAGCTATCTTGATCTAGCTATAGTTGCAAAAACAGACTTCTGTGCTAGCATTGGCTGTGTAATATTTTGGCCTAGCTAATTATTTTAGCTTTCCCTATACTCTGTGTAGCAAAATAAAGTACAAGTCATTGATAATCTAATATACTGGCCTAGCTTATTAATTAAGTTTTCCCTTATGCCCCGAGTAGCAACATACAGGGCATTGTTAATGAATAACAATGATGTTATTTTCTCCCTGGTATTCCTTGTGAGTTCTATCAACTCAAAGCCAAAGGTCATCAACTAGAGCGACTTTACAGGAAAACTGGACTCACTATTCACAAACAAATGTACCACACCATTCTTCATGACAAAGACACAATCTGCTAGGTCAAATCCCAATACTTTGCAGGTCTTATTGTTACTGGCCTCAGACCAAGGGGGAATCTGGGTCGGCACAAGTGATACACAGGCAAGGGTGCACTGTGGATCTATAATTATTACCTGTGAACGATGAGGAACAGACACATTAGTTCGTGATGCCTTGCTCTGCTGGCAGCGTTTTACTGTTGACTCAACTGGTGTCAAAACATTCATTAATCAATTAACTTCAACACTATCAAAACATCAATGTCACAACAATCAGTATTCAAAAATATCACCATAACATCAGTTCTGAAATACACTTATGGTGCAACTTAAGACACATCATCAGTGTTGGCACCTGGGTTCACTGGGTGTTTCGGGTCTTGCAACAGACACCCTCGCCCAGGGGACCCAGCCGGGGTGATCAAGTCCCGGCTTGTGTCTTAAGAGCATGTGTCCACAGATCACCCCGCTTGATCCACAGCCATCTGGACGCCTTCTCTGCTGCGTCACAGATGTTCTTAATGGCTCGCCTGTTGTGCAGTCCCCCCATTCCCAGCATCTTGAGAGCCCTGATGAGGGACTGGCCAGCGAATCCTCTGCATCCGACCTCGATGGGGTTGCACCGGGTCCTCCATCCCCTGCTTCGGCATTCACTTGCCAGCTCCTCATACTTGGCTTTCTTTCTCTCAAAGGCCTCCTCCATCCTGTCTTCCCAGGGAACAGTCAACTCCAGCAGGACCACTTGCCTTGTTGTTTCAGACACCAGGACCATGTCTGGCCTGAGCGTGGTCACTGCGATGTTCTCCGGGAATTTGAGCTGTCTCCCTAGGTCGACTTTCAGCTGCCAGTCACGGGCTGTTGCCAGCAGCCCCCCTGCTTGCCTCCTGAGCTGCTGCGGCTTCTCCCCAGCCTTAACTCTTCAATATCAAAATACAGTTTTAACAGTCCAACAGTCTTTTAGTTCAGAAATAGCTCAAAAATACAATAAATCTTTTGGCTCATAATACTGGCAAAATACAGGAACTCAAATAGTGCAAAAATACTCTTCAGTAAACAAAAATAAAATAAACTGCAGAATGATAACCCTGTATGGATATGTATGTCTATGTCTACTTGAGTGTCTGTGCCTGTGTGTGTGATCCTTTCTGTTTGTGCAACTCAATAGTGGTCATAATAATCATCTTCCACCAACAAAACAACAATACATTATCTACTCAGTACATTCATACTATTAGCCGTTAGCTCAGAACATAAACAGTGAAAACAGCGTGGACAGACGTTCTCATTCATGTGCACGCACATGTGCATGTACGCACACATGCACCACATGTGATCTCTGTAACCGAGTGAAGAACTTTCTGGAAGCGGCTATTACTCAACTCGACAAAAGAATAAAACTACTTGTCCAAACTCAGATCTAGCACACTCGATATGTCACAAAACATGTCACTGACAGTTCACACTCGCTTTAACATCTTCAGGAATGTTAAAGAATAGTTACAGTAATGCCTGTGAACGATGAGGAACAGACACATTAGTTCGTGATGCCTTGCTCTGCTGGCAGCGTTTTACTGTTGACTGTGCATGTGTGAGCAGAGACTACAGTAGTTCCTCATGCAGTCATTCACAGGAGCGCAGGAGCGCCATCTACTGACTAGGTAGTCTAGAAAGATGTGAAACCTCATTAAACAGTCAAACAGGTACTGTTTAGAGTAGTTCAAATATTCTCAAAAAATGGAGGGTGTCTATTTTAGTGTAAACTTTAGATAGAGGCAATTTCTGAACCTTCTACATTATCAGTGCCGGTGATGGGAACACCAGGGCCGTCTTCTCAGTCTTGAATAATACTGTGTGCCCCCTGGACTCTTTCCCTCCACATTTTTACTCCACTGATCACCGTAATTCATTGATGGAATTCTTCAACACAAAAATAATCAAGATCCATCAGCAACTGATCCCCCACAGCCTCGATAGTCCATCTTCTCCAGTTCTCCATAGTCCGCATTCTCAACCACTTGCAAACTTTCAACTTCCTTCTGCTGCTGATATATCATAACTCATCCAGAAATCTAAAACATTTACCTGCCATCTCAACCCCCTGTCAACTTCTTAAGTCAAAGCCAGGCTCCCCTCTCTGTTGCCCTTGATACTTGCCATTATACACTGCTCCCTCACAACTAGTAACATTCTGTCATCCCTTAAATCTGCTGTGCTCGAACTCAGGGCAATTCACTTGGCACTCAGCAGGTTCCTACCATACTTGAAAAGCAGACATGTTCTGGTGGTCAGCAGTTTACCACGTCAATCGACAAGGCGGTACCAGGTCAAGTGGTGTGGCATCTTCTTGTGTGGGCTTACTCTCTTTGCCAGCCTCAGGGCCACGTACTACCAGGGCCAGAGAATGTGGTGGCACAATTTCTTTCACATCAGAGCCCTCTTTCAGGGGAGTGAAGGCTCCATCCAGAGGTTGTACAGGAGATCTGGTGCAGGTACAGTATGGCAGAGGTAGACCTGTTTGCCTTGGGTCCTCAACACTCTGGCCTCTTTGGTTCTTCCTGATTGGAGCAACCAGTAGCGGTTCTAGGCACGGGCGAACAGGGCAGCCGCCCGGGGCGGCATTTGTTTCATGACTCATGGGGGGCGGCACGAGCACTTCCAAAAAAATAAAATAAAAGATAATAATAATAAATCTTAACTGCAAAGCGGTTATTTATTAACTCTTGTTGTCAAATTGGCGACCCCCCGCTGCTGTAGGCGCCCCTGCTTGCTCCGAAGGTGCTGCACAGAGGCTGACAGACTGTAGGAGACGAGGCGGGGAGAGAGTCGCGAGGGGACAGCTCTGCTCTGTGTACGCATGTCAGCATATCAGCGGGAGCGCGGATACGTCATTTTGTAGTTTTTTAATCATTTCTGGAGTCGCGGTGAATGAAATCACCGTACCCGTCTGCCTTTGATAGGCGAATAAAGCGCTCGGGTTCATGCTCGGATCTTGCTACGTGCTTGATGAGCTTCATGAGTAAAGTAAACAATGACTGAGGCAGAGAGCAGCTTCAGAGGAGAAACATCCAGCAGTGTGAACAACCTCTTCATATGGAGTGATTTGGCTCACACTATCAGCGTTTTCTCTCAGTGTTGCATGACTTTGGGTGAGCACAGAGGTGAACACACTGTCAGCCACGTATTTATTTATTCATTTTTTAGTTTTTAGTTCTGCTTTTGTACTGGCACTATACTGGGGCAGCTGTTTACCCTTTCAACACCTTATTTTCTATATTTACATTTGTATTGAATGGACACTTTATCATGACTGCCACTTGTTTTACAGAAAGCAAATTATTTGTCATTCTCCAGTGCAGAGCCTTTACTTTTATTTATACAGCCGCTTTATTTCATTTGAGTTTGTTTGTTCAAGGTTTTCAAAAATGTGATGAAGGTTCGCAAAACTAAAAGAGAGCTTTCTTGAAAGCCACATGTATAAGCTCTCAAATACTTTTTGAATTTTGTTTCTATCGACTACAGAGGCCGAGATAGCAGCTTTTTTGTAAACCTTAACACTTCAGAAAACACTTGGAGGGGTGCTCGCCCGGGGAGTAATTTGGTCTAGAACCGCCACTGGAAGCAACAAGCGCATTGGGACAGTATGCCCAAGCACACTCCTGGCCAGATTGCCCCCCCATGCCTTTCCACCATTGCATCTGATAGCAGCGACGCTACACAGAATTCGACAGAACAATCAGAGCCTCCTGCTAGTGGCCCTAAACTGGCCGGGAAGGCTCTGGTTTCCACAGATGTACAAGCTCCTGACTGGGGCTCTGTGGCATTTGCCCAGGAGGTGGGACCTGCTCTTGCAGCTAGGGGGGGTCCCATTTTACATCTATGTCCAGAATGCCTGCAGCTATGGGTATGGCCCATGGGGTCCTTGGGCACTACTAAGCGCTTGTGATGAGGCTGTCGTTCAAACAATTGAGGACTCCAGTGCACTCTTCACAAGGGCACTCTGTGCCAACAGGTGGAAGCTTTTTTAAGAATCATGTAGGGCCCACAAAGAGCTGCCTGACCATGCCCCTGTGCCTATGATGCTGTGTTTTTTGAAGTCCTTGCTGGAGAAGAGGCGCTCTGCCACTCAGAATCTTGTGAAAAGATTTTGTAGGGATGTTCTGCAGGGTGACGCTGACTTAAATAGGTTACATTATGCGTCATCGCTGGGCATAAAACCTTGGTGATACTAAGTACTCCACCTGCGCATGTGACAGATATCCAGTATTAAGAACTGCCTCTGATGGTCATCCAGGAATCATAGAAGCACAGTTAGATTTGTTACTCTCTTATTTTATATCATGCATATGTCAAGAACTGGCTAAACAAAAAGGAACTCAAATGCAGGACCAGGAGACCAATTCTGTGTGGCAAAACATCAGGATTTATTTACAGTCCAAGTTTAGTACATGAGGTAGAAATCAAACAGGCAGAGGTATCCAAAACACAAGGCAAAAGACAGGGTCAAAAAAATATCAAAGTCAATAACAGGCAGGCTATGAAACAAACAAACATGCTGGTAAGTGACTATAAAGATCAACAAACTGGCGATGAGAGTGAGAGACATGGGGTTAAATACAAGAGGTGATGAAGGTGATGGGAAACAGGTGGGGATGAACAGGGATGATCAGGAGGCGGGTGTGACAAGATGGGGGCTGGGCAGACATCTAGGAAACAAAGACAAGGGTTAGTGATAAAAATAAAACAGGAAACACAAATACGGATGAAATAAAAGTAACTCGACTGTGATTATGACAGCATACTTGATCAAAAAAATTCTGATGAATAATCATCAACTTTGTGTTTTGAATTTGAGAATCAATTTTGGCTAGCCCAAAGAATTTAGGTTTGCCTTTAGGGTGACCTGCTTGGACAGGATAATTCATGCAACATTTATGAATTGACTGATGTGTAAAATTATGTTAATTGTACTTTCTGTCAGACAGAACAAGGTACCAAGCAATAATGACAAATGCTACAAAAATTAGCATGTAGGTTATGTAAGGTGGTGTTTGTAGAGTGAGTCTGTCCCCAGTTTGATTAGATATTCTGTATTTTGTCTTAACTCATGAATGAACTGTACAAAGAGAAGTCATTTCAGGTAAAGAACTCAGATGAGGTGAGACTACTGTAGTCTGAATATTCACTGCAGAACATTTGGTATTCCCACATGGGATCTATCTCCTTAAATGCAACATATTTGCATAACAAAAGCATAAATATACTGTTGTTGGTTGGTAAAGTCAGCTACATTTTTCATACTCCCTAAATTCCTAAAACAGCTCTTCTGGGGTCCACTGGTGTTTTGCATGAAGGTGCTTTTGAGTGAAAATGTAACAGTATAAACAGCAGGCAAAGGAGCACTAATGCATACTTAAATTGTAATATTCTACCAAAATACAGAAATAAGGACATTAAACTCAGAGTTCACGATACGTTTCCCTGGCGGTTTGGGTGTGATGGCTTCTTTCAGATGGCTGATCAATATCAATTTGGTTACCGCATCCAGAGTAGTTTGAGAAAATCTGAACATCATCTAAAACCCCATCTTGCATCATTACAGCATTTTAAATCTGAGTAGATGCAGATGCATTGACATTTGGATGCTTTAAAATGATTTGCATCTCTTCATGCAATAGCATGACAGAGTGAACAACACCCATGCAGTCTCTCAAAGAAATGCATACACTTCATTTCCTTACACAGATGGAAAGCCCCACTGCATTTTCAACATATAGATAATCTAATTGGATACGACTGCGATTGGTTCATCTCACAAGCATAAGAGTGTTGCATGTGAGGTATTCAGCATGGGCTGTGGTAGACGCTTTTAGCACTGGGGCATAGATGAAGTACCTATGGTCAATTTCAGCCTATTGAAATGGCAGCAGAGTGATAGAACTCACTATACACTTGACACAACACTCACTAACATCTCAAAAGAAGCTGGCTCTTATTGTTGTTTGATGTCTGTCTTCTTAAGAGGTCAACAGCCAGGATTAATAATGCTAGACCTGAAACCATACTCAAATGGTCTGAAGCCATTGCTGTAGTCCAAGGGTTACTTTGAATTTACTTGACTTATCATATGATTCTCTTTTTATCCTAGAATCTGGGTATATTACCAGTCTATCTATATTTCAGTTTGGGCTATATACATGTTGCTGTTTTTTTCTTTTATTATTATTATTATTATTATTATTATTATTATTATTACATCATTTTATTATTTTTTGTGTGTATTGTGGTATCATCATCTTAACAGCTATAACACATTTTGTACTCATCTTAGACTGGTGTCTTTGAAAACCTTTATTTCAGCCTCAGTCTAAAACACTAAGATTTAGTTATGGTCTCTTCAAGACTCCTCAGGACTCTTAAGGTCACCTCCCTTAATTTTCATGCAATAAAATCCTGTCTCTCTATTTGAAATAAGAAACTCTAAGACTCACCCACTTAAATATATAATCTCAGTGCACTGAAATGTGTTACACGCCTAAAAACATCTCAACAAAAGCAACACCCACACAAACATGAATCTCTTTACCTAATCCCAAAACAGAAAACATGAGAAAAGGGACGCAAAAATTAGAAGTCTGCTCTTCTCTCCTGCTTAAAGTATTTTTTAAATTTACTGGGACTCCTGTTCCAATAATTGTCGCTGTTATCCCTAACTTTCAAAGAAGTGAAGAAAAGAGGAAAGATGATGTGTTTTCCTACGTTTATGCTGTAAAACCAGCACTGTTTTAATCAGCAGCAGACCCTAAAGCCAGACCACAGTTTAGATTGCACTGTGTTCCCTTTAAGAAAGATGTCAGACTGTGGTGATGAGAAGATCATTTGATACCTCATGGCTGCATTTAGTCAGGCCCTGATATCTTGAATGTGACTCAAGAGAAAGGTGAGACGGGCACGCTCCACATGCTGTCTTCGCTTATCATTAGTCAGATTTTAAAAAAAGACAACTCTGGCATCAACCACTGCAAAATGAATCACATTCTGTTGGGAGACCTTATTATTTAGCTCAACCAGCAAATAAATTACCCACAGGCACAGACTGCATCGCTTTATTAACTTTGCCAACCCCCACTCCTCTCCAGCACCCTCCTCCTGGCTAAATATGGGCATTCCTGGCTGCAAAAGCCAACATGGCAGCAGCCAAAAGCCCAGCTCAATGTGTGATGTTATTATTTATACAGTCCATTGACTGTCCTCAACCTGAATCAGCCTGACAGGAAATCTGTCTGAACAGGATGGTGGCCAGACATATGTGCCAGAACAAATGTAACCTGAGCTCACAGATTTGTCTGCTTCCCCAGCAAGCACACAGCTCTCTCCTGCATGATTTGAATTAAATGTTTTTTCAACAAACCCCTTTCATTATTGAATAGAAGTCAGCATGTAACATGTTTGTCAATCTGCCAGACTGATTATTTGTCTGTTACTTGGTGTATTTCTGTAAAAAACAAAATAGTCTGATAGAAATGAGTAGAGTATTACAAAAATAACCTGGCTGGTCTGCATGAAAATAATAACAAAAGTCACATAAATGATTTCAAGCATTTTTGTCATATTTTTCTATTGCTATAAAAATCGGACCTAATATCCAAGTGCAGTGGCGGTTCTAGACTAAAATACTCCCCGGGCAAGACCCCCTCCAACCTAGAATTTTGAACAGATAGTTTTGTATTATTATGTAGTATTATTATGATTCTAACAACAAACATAAAATATTTCTCAATTGCACAAATCCTTCATTAGAAAAAACACAATCCTGAGGGCCATTTTGAGAAGGGCCCCCAGATCCTGAGGTTTTCTGAAGTGTTGAAGTTTACAAAAAAGCTGATATCTCAGCCTCTGTAGTAGATAGAAACAAATTTCAAAAAGTATTTGAGAGCTTATACACGTGGCTTTCAAGAAAGCTGTATTTGAGTTTTGCAATTAAAGTGGCTGTATAAATAAAAGTAAAGGCTCTGCACTGGAGAATAACAAACTATTTGCTTTCTGTAAAAAAAGTGGCATTCATGATAAAGTGTCCATTCAATACAAATGTAAATATAAAAAAATAAAGTGTTGAAAGGGTATACAGCTGCCCCAGTAAAGTGCCTGTACAAAAGTAGCACTAAAAACTAAAAATGAATAAAGTAATATGTGGCTGACAGTGCGTTCATGTCTGTGCTCACCCAAAGTCATGCAACACTCACAGACAACGCAGATAGTGTGAACCCAACACTCCATATGAAGAGGTTGTTCACACTGCTGGATGTTTCTCCTCTGAAGCTGCTCTCTGCCTACGTCATTGTTTACTTTACTCTTGAAGCATGTAGCAAGAGCCGAGCATGAATCTGAGCACTTTATTTGCCTATTCGCCACAACTCCAGAAATGATTAAAAAACTACAGAATGTCACAAAATGACGTATCTGCGCCCCCGGCTTGGAAGGCTGATATGCGGACATACTGTCCCGGTTTAAATGGGTTAAGTGATTGATGCCGATGACGGCAAGGCCAGTGAGCTGTTCCTGAGACATGGTTGACCTTAGGTACGACGTTATCAACTTCATTTTTGAGAAGCTCCTCTCTGCTTGAGCCACCATGACTGGCAGCTCGAGAGCAATCCTGAGAGCAGAACTGTCCCCCGCGACCCACTCCTCGCCTTGTCTCATACAGTCTGTCAGCCTCTGTGCGGCACCTTCGCAGCAAGCAGGGGCACCTACAGCAGCAGGGAGCGCCAATTTGACAAGACTTAATACAAAACCGCTTTTCGGTGCAGATTTATTATTATTATCTTTTTTTTATTATTTTTTTGGAAGTGCTCGTGCTGCCCCCCATGAGTCATGACACAAATGCCGCCCCGGGCGGCAGCCCTGTTCGCCCGTGCCTAGAACCGCTACTGTCCAAGTGCAATAGGAAAGCTTTCTTTTCACACCCTGCAGTCTAGAACAGGTGCTGTATGACTTCTGCATTTGATAAGCATTAATGCAGAAAGCTGATCAAAACTAGTTAAATTCTCCTCCTTTCCCCTAAAACCACTTACTTATACAGGCATTTCCTCTAACTCTGCCTCATGTTTAATACTCTTTTTTCTTCCAAGAAGTGGATAAAAAATTCATGCCTTGTCTGCAGATATCAAGTGAAATCATTATTCAGCCTGAGTGCTCAGTTAAATCAGTGTGTTGGTCCTCTGTCCAGTAAGGAGGTGCACTAAAGGACTGCAGAAGAGGAGTTTCCAGCCCAAGCTTAATAACCTACATTTATATTTAAAGAAAAAATTAAATCTAAATATACAGGGAAAGTATGAGAGGATTTTACATTAAAAAAACAAACAAACAAAAAAAAAAACAGCTTTGCCCACACTTTGTCACTTTTAAGCAGAAACTCCTGGGACAGTGTCTTCCACTGAAAATTTGCCCAGAGTTTGAGGCTGAAGGTTGGTCATTGGGTACACAGTCCCAGTTTTCCTCTTATACTCAGAACTATCACTAATGAGCAAAACTTGTATTTATTGAATTTTTAACAGAGCTTATGTGAATGTAACATGACTGTTCTGTGCAGGTTGAAATAATAATACTGTAGGTCATAATTTTCTCTCATCTCTGTCTTTTGCACAGACATAATAGGCACAATCAGGACTAACAGCTGAATCACAATTGCTGTAAACAGTAAACGCTGGTTACACCTGGTAAAAGAGCATCTCAATTTTGATAGCTGAAGAGAGCAAGACTTAGTTTGGCTAAAAACCATGCCATGTTGACCCCCCCCCCCCCCCTTTTTTTTTTTTGTTTATTTGTTTATTTTAAACTGAAAACACAACTGTGAAAAGTCAGATTGTCTTTTATTTAAGGGGGTTTGCTCATTGGTGGAGTCAACCATGCAGCAAACAACATAATCAGCTTTGGAAAAACGGAACAATACAATAAAGTGACTTACTATTAGTGCGCCCCATGAATGGGGACCACAGTCCCCGTAGCGGTTGCCGGTTCGACCGTGTGCTGCATGTCCTCCTCCCTCTCTCTCTGTCTCCCCACATTTCACCCTGTCCTATCAATAAAAGGCAACCCCCCCAAAAAAATAAAATAAAATAAAATAATGCCAATAAAGTGACTTACTGTAAAAAATAAAGTTCATCTTGCTGTGACACACAGGAGCACTTCTATCCTACAGAGAAGATCACTGTGTTCTCAGACAATCCTTATTCAGTCTCTCATAAATAAATAAATGTAGTTAGTGATGATTTATGCTTAAACTTCAGTGAAATACTGTGTTTTGTATTGTTAGCTGACTATGCTCAATAGAGGCTGTCATCATTGTTTTGGTTTGTTGACCAATCAGAGGCTGTATCTGCAGTTTGCTGACCTTATAAGATCAATGGAAAGGCCAGTATAAAAATATTAGAGATAGAGCAGTTTTGTCAGGGTGTGTTGTCTGTATTTTTTAAAACATTTTTTAATGATACCTACCTTAGGACAACAGATGAAATTTAGCAACTGTGCAAACTCCTGCATCTTTACTTTGATGCTTTTTGCTGATATGTTGCTGATATCATTGTGCATTGTCCTATTCAAATAAATAAATAAATGTCTCCATCCTGTTCAGCTTATTCTAGTTTCAGTACATCTGCACTCTTCTCTGCAGTAACACTTGAGTGCTTCATTTTCACAAGTTAATTCAAAAACAAAGGAAAATTGACAAATATGTTAAACCATCAACTTTTATTGTTAATTCAATGTTTATTTATGTTTTTTTTTTTATTTTCAACCAAAGTTGCCTTCTGCATAGAAACAAGATTTGGTCTCCAAAGAATCTTGTCAAAAAACAAACAAACAAATAAATAAAAGGGGTCATTTTACTACCCAGGTTGTCTCGTCGAGGAACATGATAATTAAAGTGTTTTCTGTGTCTTGACATACTTAAGTGGAAATGGTCATATATGCACATATAGTGTGGCGCCGCACGAGGTGGCAGCTTGTTACAGCAGCTCCCGTGTGTTTTATACTTTTGTATCTTTTTCTCTTTCATTTCTGTCCTGACACATGTGTGTCTTCACCAGATAGTGTCTAACTACTGGATACACCGACTTTTGCCTTTTTTTAACTTTTCTGGCCGTTCTTCTGGACACTTTTTGGCACATCAGTACTCATGGCAACGGAGATTCACATACGCGACGGTGAGCGCTTTGTTTACACGCGCGATCAGCTGATTGTGCTGAGTAAACCTGTGCTGCTGCCCGGAGCGAGGCCCGACATCCCGGAGGAGCTGAGGAGGAGGTGCCGGGGGTGCAGAGCAGGAGCCAAGCTGAGGGCAAGGAAGAGGAGATTTCGCCCAGCTGTACTGGCGATTATCACGGGGAACGTGAGGTCTTTGGGGAATAAGACGGACGAGCTAGCCGCGCTGAGAAAGACTTAGATGTAATACCGTGAGTGTAGTGTCTTTTGTTTCACTGAGACATGGCTGCACTCGCATATCCGGGATCACAGCGTGGTGACACCCGGCTTCAGGGTTGTTCGGGCGGACAGAGACATTATTAGCAGCGGTAAGAAGAAGGGAGGAGGGATTGCACTGTATGTGAGTGAGAGGTGGTGTAATCTCAGACATGTGCATGTGAAGGAACGTCCCTGTGAACCGGATATTGAACTGTTCGCTGTTGGAATGCGTCTGTATTACCTGCCCCGGGAATTCACGTCTGCCATTGTGATCGCTGCTTACATCCCCCTATCAGCTGATGCACCGACGGCCTATGACATCATCACCTCCACCTTTGCCAGGGTACAGACTCAACATCCCAATGCTTTCACTGTTATTACTGTGTGTCCCCCTTGTTAAGAGGCAGCCTATTCACACCATGACGATGAGGAGGTGGACTGAGGAGGCTGCTGAGGCACTGCAGGACTGCTTTGAATCAACGGACTGGGATGTACTCTGTGAGCCACACGAGGAGGACATCAACAACATGACAGACTGCATCACAGAATATATCAGGTTCTGTGAACACTCCACCATCCCAAACCGGACTGTACGCTGCTTCCCCAACAAACAGCCATGGATCACCAGTGACCTGAAAGCCCTCCTTAATAAGAAGAAGAGGGCTTTCAAGTCTGGAGACAAAGAGGAGCTGAGGAGAGTGCAGCACACACACACACACACACACACACACACACACGACCGTGACTATGGGCCAGGTTAGGAGACAGTTGGAGAGGCCCCACCAGAGGAAGGCAGCAGGACCTGATGGCATCAGCCCCAGGATCCTGAGGACCTGCGCCAGCCAGCTGTCTTCTGTCATCAAACACCTCTACAACCTGAGCCTGAGTCAAGAGAGAGTCCTAGTGCTGTGGAAGACGTCCTGTCTCGTTCCTGTCCCAAAGAAGTCGACTCCATCTGACCTCAATGACTACCGACCAGTTGCCCTCACTTCCCATCTGATGAAGGTGCTGGAGAGGTTGGTCTTGGCCCACCTGAGGCCACAGGTGAAGGAGCTCTTAGACCCTCTGCAGTTTGCCCACCAGCCCCATTTGGGAGTTGATGATGCTGTCATCTACCTGCTGCAACCAGTTCATCTGCATCTGGATGGTGATGGCAGCACTGTGAAAATCACCTTCTTTGATTTCTCCAGTGCTTTTAACACCATCCAGCTACTGCTGCTGGGTGAGAAGCTGCGGGTGATGGGTGTCGACACCTTCACTGTCTCCTGGATCACCAGCTACCTGATGGACAGGCCACAGTTTGTCCGTCTGGGCAGTGTTCTGTCTGACGTGGTGGTCAGTGATGCAGGAGCTCCACAGGGGACTGTGCTGTCCCCCCTCCTTTTCACCTTGTACACCACTGACCTTCAGTATAACTCCGAGTCATGCCACCTGCAGAAATTTTCTGATAACTCAGCTGTTGTTGGGTGTATAAGCGAGGGAAGGAATGGGGAGTACAGAGCAGTGGTGGATAACTTTGTGGAGTGGGCTGGATGCAATCACCTGAGGCTGAATGTCACCAAGACCAGAGAGATGGTCATCGACTTCAGGAAGAAGAGGACATCTCCACAGCCGCTGTGCATCCTGGGAGAAGATGTGGAGGAGGTGGAGGTCTACAAGTACCTGGGCGTCTATATCAACAACAGACTGGACTGGAAATCCAACACCGACGCCGTCTACAAGAAGGGGATGAGCAGACTCTACTTCCTGAGGAAGCTGAGATCCTTCAACGTGTGCAGCAAGATGTTGGAGATGTTCTACCAGTCTGTGGTGGCCAGCGTACTTTTCTTTGCTGTGGTTTGTTGGGGGAGCAGCATCGGAGTCAGTGACACCAACAGACTCAACAAACTGATCAGAAAGGCTGGCTCCGTGATTGTCTGCAAACAGGACACTGTGGAGGCTGTGGTGGAGAGGAGGACACTGACCAAACTGTTATCCATCATGGATAACCCTGACCACCCTCTCCACCTCACTCTGGACAGACAGCGGAGCTCCTTCTCCAACAGACTGTTGCAGCTCCGCTGTCGAAGGGACAGATACAGGAAATCTTTCCTGCCACAAGCTATTGCACTATTTAATAACTCTCATCTGTCAGACAGGGACTCACATCTGTCTGCTGTAAAGTCCATTTTTAAAACTCCTACCACATCACATTACTGAGCACCTTAATTTGTCTGTTTATTTATCATCCCATCTGTATATTTCACATTTCATATTTATTACTCGTTTCATATTTATTACTCATTTCAATAGCCCACGTTTGTCATATCTCACTTTTTTCTCTTAGGATGTTTAGTATATTTAGTCTGTCTTTATTGTATATACTTAGTATTTTTAGTATATTTAGTCTGCATTGTACTTCTTATATTTAATTTTATTTTGTATTTTTCCCTTTTGCTCTCCTGGTGAAATGGTGCTGTCATTGGTGCTGAAATGTTTATGACTCAAGGGGAGCTTGGGGACCCAATGCACTGAAACAACTCTGATTTTACTGCTATCATCATAACAATTAGTCTGGCTTGGATTTAATGAAAATAAATAAAAATCCAATAAATGCACATCTGAAGTCATAGATGGGCTCTCTGCTCCCTCAATGTAATCATCTAACTGTCAGTTCCTTGAATAAAAGAAGCAAGCTGATTGTGAAAAAGTCATTCATGCCTCCATCTGTAAAGTATGTGATTGACCTTTTTAATGACAGCTACAAGAACAATTCCATAAGAGATGTGGGTGTGGGGGGTTGGTTTGTAAATAAATATCATAGATGGTGTTGTTCTCTTATGCCACGAAAAACACAAAGAAACCAGATGAAACACAATTGCCACCAGGTGTTGTTGCTACATGGTATATCCAGGGTCATGGTATACCCATTAAAATTTTATCAGCTTATCTTTGACTCCTAGTTATTGTGTTGGTATCACGATGATGTTAGTCCCTTTAGTGGCCTTACTGAGGAATTCAATGTGGCCCACACAAGAAAAGCTTTACAGAACAGGGACTCCCGGGGCAGAAGAATATCTTCAACTGATATCCAGGTTGTTCGTCTCTATATGTCAGCCCTGCGATGAACTGGCGACTTGTCCAGGGTGTCCCTTGCCTTCGCCCGATGACGCTGGGATAGGCTCCAAGTAGCAACCAAGACAACTCTGTGGGTGGAACCCACACATTCCTCTCAGGAAGGGTTCCTTATCTGGTCCCAGGACACAAGATAATATTAATCTTTCCAAACTTGTTTGTACTTTCAGGTTACCTAACTGACCTGATCGGAGGTTGAGGTTGAACGTCTGGCTCTTCACGATTGGTAAATTTGGAGAACAGAGACAGAGTCTTTATTACCTTTCAAACTGACTCCATTGCTGACCATCTAAATAATCATTCATGCCTAAATCCAGGTCTCCCATTTGAGATTTACTGTCGTAAAGCGTGTTAACACACGGGATCCAAGGAAAGATCTGAGGAGCAGGACACTGACCTCCGTAAAACCTTGCTCAACCATGTTCTGATAAAAACTGCGTACCATTGGAGAAAGAATACAAATGACTGATCATGACATCTTGTGCATTCAGCAATGTACTAATCTGTCTAATCATGAGATTTGTGTTAAAATGAGATGTTTCCCATTTTTCTATGTGCTCCTGAAGCCAAGTTATCACTCTGACAGAATAAATCCTTTATTCAGTTTCTTTAGACCAACAGCTTTTCAGACTGTTTCATGAACTTTTAAGAGTTAAATTTACTGAGTATGAATCATAACTTTACTCTAAGTAACAGAAATAGTTTAGAATTGTTTGGTTTATATTTTAATAATTTATTTAGTCTTTTTAACCATTAGGTGGCTATAATGTCACTGAATAATCTGAATGTGAGTATTTAGAATCCAATATTTATCATGATGAAGTTCATTCACATGTATTTACTCTTTTGTTGTTCTCAGTTTCTATGTGTTACAATCTGTTTCATTTCAGAGTTATTTAGCATGTTCAATGTGATACTTAAAACGTAATGAGAATGTTTGATGTGATCCTACACTTCATTCATATGTGTTTAGTATCAAATTATTTATCATGAAACCAAGTATTCAATGATATTAATCATAGTGAGTGAGTATCAGATCTGACTCTTTTAACAGCCAAAAGTATAAGTTAGATCAAATAATCAGAGATCCGAGAGGTCTCCTCTGCAGTTGGAGACCCCACGACCCCTCCTCTTTCTCCTCACACACACACACACACACACACACACACACACACACACACACACACACACACACACACACACACACACACACACACACACACACACACACACACACACACACACACACACACCAGAGACACTCCCAGTGTGAAGAAGAAAAAACAGTAAAGTTGGGGGTGCTCTGTCTCTTATGTACTTACTCTTATATTTGACTCTTCAGTCTCTTCTCTTAGCTCTCTTCTTTGTTTTCTCTTAGCTCTTACTTTTTAATTAGTCTTTCTTTTTCTTAGTCTTCTAATTTTTACACCACATGTTCATTCAGGTTGATTTTTCTTTAACATCGTCTGAGTTGAAGTTTTGAAACTTCAACTTTTTGTGCGCATAGCAATTAAATATTAAGCCTTTAATTGATTTTTAGAAGTTATTTTTGAAATACTTTCGACTGGCCATCGAGCCTCTTTTTCTAAGTCATCTGCGTGATTTCAAAGTCACGTCTGAACCAGTGGCGGCTGCTGGTCTTTCAAGGAGGGGAAGTTTATTTTTCTGGCCTACATCATAATTGTGTTTCTTTATTTGTATGTAACAGAACAGAGTCGCCAAACACAACGGCAGTCGTTTTTAACAAAGACAAAAGTCGTTGAGGATCGGTAAAGTCTCTGAAGCAGTTAAGAACAACGGAATGAATAACTTGGAAAATGCTCTGGTAGATGTTTTATTCTTCAAGATCGCTGATTCGCTTCTTTAGCTGTCAATCAAAAAAGGATTTCGCCTCAGACAGCTCATCCAATCATGGATGCAGAAGCTCAGCGTCCGCGAGAAAGTTGGGACCGCCCTCTCGTCATAGAACTCCAGAGACGCTGAGCGTCCGATGGGCGGGACAAAGCCCAGCATTTATCCAATGAGTGTCTAGTTTCGCTGCTGGAACAACCCACTTTGAGCTTCCACATTGAAGTCAGCAGAAGCTGAGCGTCCAGCTGTGTGAAGCGCTGAAGTGCTGCGAGGATGAATGAGAACGAAGTTGTGCTGGTTACCTGTGATTACGTGACCTGTGATTGATTCTGAACAAAAGATGAAGGCTTTCTAGCGCGTATTTAGTTAATGAAATGTACACACAGCAGTACGTATTTCACCACTTTTTCTTTTTTTGGGGGGTGACATTTTAAGGGAAGCTGAGCTTCCCTTGCAGTCTTAGAGCAATCGCCACTGCTCTGAACGCCACCCAGCAGGCCCAAAGTCATTCTCTGTACCAGAGTTTTGAGTGAGTCCAAAGGAGCATCGAGTAGGATCCATACGGCATCGGCTTTTGCTTCGGGCCCGAGTGCTGCAACTCCTGGCCCATCCTTCGGCTGACTTCAGTCGTCTTCTGAGCTGAACCGCTCGAACCGCAGGTAGTCCTGGACCTTCGGAACCTGCTCCATCTTCTCCAAGGACCAGTCTCACTTAAGTATGGAAACATCCAGAGCTCCAAACAGGGCTGATGCTGTCTTATCTCTCATGTGGTCATGACCCAGATATTCACTTATTCTAGTAATCCTAGATTCATCCAAATCCACTTCCAAATTTAGCTTTACACCAAAGTTAGTGTAGATTAATATGTTAGAGCATATTCACTCACTATCATTAATTTCAGCGCTCCTAGCCTGACTCAGAATCTTTTATTATTCACCTATTATTATTGAGTGGGATTGCGAAGCATTCCCACTATATGTTATTCAAATCTTTATTATTATTATTCCGCCGTTTTTTGGCCCTCAACTACTTCCACATACTTCAACATATTCAAACCATTCAAACTTCAAAATGTTCCTCTGATTGAGGAGATTCCGGCTTGTAATCAAAATTTTCCTAACATTCATACTTTCCGAGATATTCCCGATTTTCCCAATGATTTCTCCCATTAGAAATGCATTGAGAATTTTCAAAATGGCCGCTTTTCTCACATTTCTTCCCACAAGTTGAAAAGCCTTCAACTCATTTATCTTCATGGTTTCGTGGTTGAGTGGTAAAGCAGCGGGTTCTTCCTCAGTGGACACAAGTTCGAATCCCAACTTCAACATCTTTCAACTCCTCCATACCTCCACGTAGACACTTCATTCAAAAACCACAATATTCACACATTTGTCAGCCTTATTCAACATCTTCAACAAACTCATTCAAACTGATTCAAACCTTTCTGATTCTTCAAACCTTTTTTTACTTCCAGATTTTTAATAATTTTAATTTTCCAGTTTTAAACAATTTTTACTCTTAATGCATTATTCAGTTCTTTTAAACAAATTCCAACTCATTTAAACTGGAAATGAGTTCAAACAGGGCTTCAGAAATTCAGGTGATTGAGGACATTATGGGATGTTTTCAGGATTTTTATATATTCAAATGTTCTGCACCTTAAAATCATTCTCATTATCAATTCATTATCAATTCATCATCTCATTTTCAATCAATCATTCTCAATTATTTAAATGATGTTTTAAATCATTTCCACTATTCATGTATTTAATTCAGTGCTTCTCAAATAGTGGGGGGCGCGGTGCCATACCTGGGGGGGCGCGTGTGACCCTGGGGAACAGGCTTTTTTTTTGGCAGTACTAGAATAAAGTGTAATTGCGCATCCACTACAGTAGGCGGCAGTGGCGCTCTCATTGTTATTTCTGTCACGTTTGCGACAGTGCAACATTTTACGACTTACAAGACAACAGGTTTGCCTTGGTTAGCAGTGTTGAGTCAACAGAAAGCTCCGACTGCGTCCTGTCTATAGCCTCTGTTATTCAACATAACAACCCCCAACATGAAAAAGTTTTTAACAGGGATGAAAAGAAAAGCGGAGAGAGACAAAGATAATGAGACAAAAGAAAGTCAGCCGAAAGCTAAGACGAGGAAATACGACGAAGCGTATTTAGCGCTTGGCTTCACTGTGAGTACAGTTGGAGAAGAGGAAAGACCGGTGTGTCTGCTGTGTCTAAAAATGCTCGCAGCGGACAGCATGAAGCCAAATAAATTGGCGCGTCACTTAAATACGTTACACCCCAATCACGCTGATAAGCCGCTTGAGTTTTTTCAGCGAAAACGTGCTGAATATGGCCAACAGTCATCCCGCTTTGTGAAGGCTACTTCAGTAAACCATCGAGCGCTGTTAGCATCATATAAGGTGGCGTACCAAATCGCGCAGTGCAAAAAGCCCCACACCATAGCAGAGGAGCTGATACTGCCTGCAGCATTAGACATGGTCTCTGTCATGCTGGACGATGCCAGTGCAGCAAAACTAAAAACTATCCCTCTGTCCAATGACACTGTCGCCAGACGTATAGATGACATCGCTAAGGATCTTCAAGAACAGCTGGTAAATAAACTCAAAGACAAACGTTTTGCCTTACAGTTTGATGAAGCAACTGACAGCAACAAAGACTGTCTGTTTATTGCTTATGTACGTTTTGACTTGTCAAACTCCCTGTGTGAGGATCTACTTCTTTGTAAATATGTCAGAGACAGAGCCACAGCTGAAGAGCTCTTCAAAATTCTGGACTCCTTTTTGACTGAGAATGGGCTAAAGTGGGAGAACTGCATTGGTGTTTGCAGTGATGGTGCACAAACCATGGCAGGGAAGAGAAAAGGACTTCGGGCGCTCATCAAGACAGCCTCACCTCATGCTGAGTGGACACACTGTATTATACACAGAGAAGCACTTGCAACCAGGCAACTTTCCCCTGAATTAAGTGAGGTTATGACTGACATCATAGGTGTAGTCAATTTTATAAAGACCAGACCACTAAAAACAAGAGTCTTCTCTGCCATCTGTGAGGAGATGGGAGCTGAACATCAAGCTGTGCTCTATCACAGTGAAGCAAGGTGGTTGTCACGAGGAAAAGTCTTGTCCCGAGTTTTTGAGCTCAGAGAGCAAATAAGAGTGTTTTTGGAGCAGGAGCACAAGTATGAAGTGGCAGAAAAATTTTGTGATGAGAAGTTCCTGGGAAAACTGGCCTACCTGAGTGACATATTTGAAAAGCTAAATGAACTGAATCTACAGCTTCAGGGGAAAGATAAACACCTCCCTCAGGTCACAGACAAGATTAGCTCTTTCACCCGAAAGCTTGCAATGTGGGGCAGGCAACTTGATGAAGGAAACACAGATTCATTTGAGAACCTGCATGAATTTGTGGACACCAATGACTATGATGCTACCTCAGTGATTCCACACATTAAGCAGCACATTTCTTCACTGATGGGATTCTTTAAAAAGTACTTCCCTGAAAACAGTTCCCAGTATGACTGGGTGAGAGACCCTTTCAGTGCACCAGCTCCAACTGGTTTCAGCTCTGCAGAAGAGGAGCAGTTCATTGACATGACGTCTGACTCCACATTGAGACTGAGGTTCACATCACAGACACTCAGTGCATTCTGGCTGAGTGTAGAGAGGCAGTATCCACTCTTAGGGGAGAAAGCTATGAGCATTCTGCTTCCTTTTGCAACATCTTACCTTTGTGAGATTGGCTTCTCTGCTGTTGCTGCACTGAAGACCAAGTACAGGTCCCAGCTAAACATTGAGCAGGAGCTGAGAGTTGCACTATCATGCTTCGAACCTCGCTTCGAAAAGCTGTGCACTGCAAAACATGCTCATTGTAGCCATTAAACCTGACTTCCTCCTCATTTTGATCAAAAAAAGAAAGAAAAAAAGAGCACAAATTGTTTAATTCATTTTTGTTTTGTAGGTTCAAGTGTTTTATATATTGTGCTCCTGAGTTAATGTTGCTGAACTGAATATAAATAAGTTATTATTTTTTTAGTTTTTGTAGTTTATTAGTTATTATAATTATTAAATATTATTTATTGATTTGATTTAATTTTGCAATGGTGCAATTAGTTGGTCAAACATGTTTACAGTTTAAACAAGGATTTATTTATTTTTAATTTCAGGCATTGATGCACTTAAAATCTTTTCTGTTGCAGTATTAAAACACGATTTGATAAAGTTATTCTTTGTAAGTTTGACCATATGTCTTTCTTTTTTTCTTTAATGTTAATAAGGATAAAATGTTATGCAGAGATGGATTGTCACGGTGGGGAGTGGGGGGCGCGAATAGTTTTCTTCTTGCTAGGGGGGGCGTAACAGAAAATAATTGAGAAGCACTGATTTAATTCTTTAAACAAAATGCAACTCATTTGAAATACATTCATTTTAATTATTAATTTCCAGTTTCTTTTTTTATTTATTTTGACAGCTGCTTTTTCTTCTTTAAGCCTTCTTTCTCCTGCTTTAACAATGTATTTACCTTGAGCATGGCAACCAATTAGTGAAAGCTTCACCTTTCAATTTCCCACATTTTAATCATTCTGACCATCTATGCCTCATTCTGCTCCTTCATACAATTTTCTGTTCATTTAAACAGATTCACACTTTCATATTTCACAGATTTAAATTGTTGTGATTGTGAGCATGTGTCATTCATTCATTCTTTCATATTAGTAAATTAAAACTCCAGAATTTCATTTTGTTTCTTTATTGACATTGAACCAGAAAAAAAAAAAGTGTGGTATATGGCACCGTCAGCCTTCGACCCTCTAAGCATGTCAGGAAAAACTCCCCCCAAAAATGCTTTCTCAGGACAAGAAGAAGAAACCTTTAGGTGGGCCAGGTCTCGGGATAAGAGGAAGAAACCTATAGGTAGGCCAGGTCTTAGAGGGATCCCCTACCAGGACGGCTGAGCATGCAGTATTTTAGAGTTCCAAGCTCAGCAGAGATCACATGGCTCCAGGGTCACATGATTGCTGGGTTTGGCTCTGTGGCTCATGACGAGCTGGTTCTGTGATGAGTTAAGAGGAAAGGTTGTACCTGGTTGTAGTGTGGAAAAGTCAAAGATTTTGAAGATGAAACATACTTGGTGAAGTTCAGAGCTGTTGCTCCCCAGGTCAGAACCCTTCTCTGCTGTAGACTTGGAGCTTGGTTCTAAGAAGCCACAGTCAAGATCTGCAGGACTTTTCTAGTTCATCAGCTCATGTTGACTTCTGTGATGTACAGAGAGAAGAGAAGGTTGTAACATCAGGTGAACACAGAGAAATGATGTGACTGCTGAAGACAAATACATACCGGTTAAAGGTCCAGCATTGTGTGAGCAACAACTTGTCTAATCCTGGATCAGAAGTTTCTTCGGCTCCAGGAGTCACAGTGATGAGTTAATGGACTTCTTTTGTTGCTGATCGGTCACACACAGAGAGGGCTTGGTTTCCTGTACAGCACTGGTGGACAAGACTTTGGGCTCTATTTTCGTGCGCGCCGGTGAGGCGGCGGAGGGCAGCGAGCCCCGCGCAGTTGTATTTTCGTCTGGCGGAGCCCGGCGTAAGGCCAGTTTGGTATTTTCGTGGACTGAGCCGCACGGAGGCGAGCCGAGATCCGCCAAGCTGGGCATGGTGGCGTGGCAGGGGGAGGTGTCGACAGAATCAGCAGGCGCAGTGACATTTTCGTGCTCGCCACCGGCGTGTAAAGTGCGCTGAAAGCTTGCCGATTCAAACCTGGTCAGCTTTCAGCGCATGGCGGAGCGCAGCTGGTCTAGTAGTATTTTGGTAGACCGGCGGCGTATCGACATACGTCACTGATGCCTCACCGGCAGGTTTCCACAGTGTCAGGCACATTTCAGTGCAATAAATAATCATCAACAACTATTAATCTGAGTCAGCACATACATTTAGATCTATATAGATATATTCTGATCTATATGTGATCTGATGAGCGCGTTTGGCACGCGTTTGGACACACAACCTGACCGAATCTACAGAGCTGAAACCGCATCAAATTAAATTAAATATCTAGTAAATAAACACACATGATGAAGTGAACAAGATATGTAATTCGTCTCCCTCCTTTTCTTTCTTCCTCTTCCTCTTATTTCTCGCACAGCTCGACCTGGACACGTCTCCTTGTCCTCTGTCCGTCTTGCTGCAGCTGCGGCTGAACAGATGATTTGTTTCAGTGCTCAGATGCGTTATCTACTTTAAGCCGACATACGGATATTATAATATTCAGTTTTGTTGGCCAAATTTATTTGATATGCCAACATCTATGAAAGAAAGCCAGGCCACGGAGCGCGATGCGTCATTTACGCACAGATGGTTCCGATTTTAATGCCATTTTTGGAGTTTATGTTGTGATCTGTGCGCTCAACCCACCTTTGTCACGTGAGGTTTGAATATGAGCAACTTTATGTGAGTGTCTGTGTTTGTGGAAAAGGGTGTTTGTCTTACCACTGGGTCCAACATTACACACACCAAATCCATCTGTGCTCATATGAGAGAGTGTGGAGGACACTTGTTAAGGAGCTGCCCTCTGTCGCCATCTTGTGGCATTACTGTCTTAAGACATCTCTTGATCTCTTTGACTACTTCATGAAAATAGTAATACGCCTCGCCTGTGGCGGATTTAAAGGCAAGGAGAGGAGCTTATGTGATTGGTGAAAACAGGTCTCGGCTGTGTTAAACCCACTCCACGCCCTCTCTCCTCCCCGTCTACGACTTATGCTGCTGGGAGGAGCTGAGTTAGGGAGGGGGGATACTTACGCCGGGCTGCGCGGCTCACCAAAATACCAAAATGTGCTTGGGAACGCCTTGTCAGCGCGGCGGATCTGACTGACGCTGCGCTTGCGGCACGTCTCCGGCGAGGCACGGAAATAGAGCCCTTTCCGTTTATTATCAATGCCTTTAAATTTTTCAAGCAAATGTCACAAAACTCTTCATGATTCATAAACTGTTTAGTTGACTTACATGTTTGAGTCCTGTTTAAGATCAAGATGGCAGCACCTCTTGTCAGGATGGTGCTGCGTACACGGCGCGACCAATTTCACCTCTCTCTGAGGAACTGAACAGGAGAGAGAAAACTGTGAAACCAGTTGAAATTTTAGATTGATTTAAATACACCAGAAAACAGACATTGCAACAACATTTAAGTCAACTTACAATGTGTGTGGGTCCTCCTCAAGTTGAGCAACATGGCTGTCAAGCTGCAGTACTCTGGAACAGTTGCTCAGGCACTGCTCTGTCAGTGTGGCACTGCCACTGTGACATTGTACCAGACAGAAGAAGAACTTCTTCAAAAATGCCATGGAGCATCATTGAGAGATTAGTGGCAGCCTTAGATTAAAAGGAATAAACTGTACTGTCACTCACCATGCATATGTCCAGGGAATTTACAGGTACAATTGTGTCTTCTCACTGTGGCACCTGCAGCTCCTAGCCGTACATTAACACGGCTGTGAAAGACTTGCTGACGAATTTCTGAGCCCAGGAAGGTGTGAATACGGCCAAGTGTCAGAAAGAAGGTTCATCCATAGATGTTCTTTTGAGAGAGGCTCATCCTTATGTCTACCAAAAGAGATAAGGTTGAGCCTCAAATAGTAAAAGGCAACAAACTCAGAGGGCAAATGTTTTGATATCAAAATCATACGCTGACCTGCCGCTCTTTTAGGATGTAATGTTGTGATAGCTTCTTGGTATGGTCTCTCCCCTCTCCAGGGTAGGCCCTTGGGACACGCTGAGCACAGAGCTGGAGTTCTGGTGTCATCACCCCACATCTTTGGTATCTGGAGGGCACATGTGCCTAAAGTCAAACAAATGAACAGACAGATTAAGACAAACAAATCCAGTAAAACAACATGTGTTTTCACATTTTACATGGAACAGTCCTGCAGCTAGTATAATGAAAGATCAATACTGTTCTTACCTTATGCCCACACCAAGTCATTTGAGAGAAATGAGGAGCAGTAATGCATCCTCAGACCTTCCTGCCACTACTAAAAGTAAATGGCAGGACATAGATGGCAACTCTAACACAGTGTAAAGTAACTAGTAAAATATTTGCTGAAATGTATTTCTATATAATTTGGTATAGGAGGGGGTCGTCTGTCCATCCCTCCCTCCCAGCCTCTTAAAAGCTAGAGCAGCCAGAGCAGGTGTTACAACCTGGCTGCTAAGGACAACCCCCTCATCTTAAAATATACTTTGTTGATAACATTTCATTAGGTCATAATAGTTTCAGTTGTATTTTTATTATTTCTTTTAAATTGCTCAGTTTTAGCTTATTTTTTAATTTGTCTCACTGTTAGTTTTGATTTCTTTTTAAATGTATTCATAATGTACTGACCTTTGCATCATTTTACTTCACTACATTTTTCTGTAATGTATTAAAAAGTTTTTCATGTTGTCTTTAATCTCACATTGTACAGTGACTGAGAAGTATTTGCAGGAATGTTTTTCTTTGGTATAGGTGGGGTCGTCTGTCCATCTCTCCCTCCCAGCCTTTTCAAAGCCAGAGCAGCCAGAGCAGGTGTTACAGCCTGGCTGCTGAGGACGACCCCCCATCTTAAAATACACTATGTTTATAACATTTAATTAGGTGATCATTTAGGAAACCAATAACTAAAACTCCTCTCTTAAATCGCAACGTGTAAACCGACATTAATGGACGCAATGATTTTTTTTCCCCTTTAACTTTGCACAAAGTTCTCGATTTTAAACCAGCCAGTTCTAATCAGGGTGTTTCTAAAGTTAACACGCAGTAGACAAGATGGTGGTAACTGTAGTATGTCCGCAGCACACCAGAATGGATACAGGACTGCGGGCAAGAGATGAAAATGGGGTCAGGGAGTGTGTTCTTCTCAGTGGTAGCAGTAGTTATGAGTTGTTCATAACCTTTGGACTGAAACAGTTCAAGAATGGGCTTCCTTGCTCTTGACAGCAAATCTTCATTAAAGTCTCCACAGACTAAGATGGGATGATGATCCATGACTTCCAGTGAATCCAAGAGACTTTTGAGGTTGGATATGAATGAGTGAACATCGTAGTCAGGTGGCCTGTAGACGGCAGCAATTAGAGCCCTGAAAGGAGCTTCAAGTTTGATGACACTGAACTCAATATCAGTGGCATTTTGAATGAAATGTCTCTCAAGGACTCTGATGTGTTCTTTCACATAGATTGCAACTCCGCCACCGTTTTTAGTGGCCATGGCAGGATGGTTTGAATAAGACACGTTTCTGTTACGTTTGAACATGTTGTAGCCTTCAAGGTGGAGACTCTCAGCAACAAAGGATCCTCGCAGATGAGTTTCAGTGAGACAGAGCACGTCTGCAAGATGTAGTTCATGGTGACTTTTGATGTCGGTGATATGAGCTGGTAGTCCTTCTGTGTTGTGATGAATGACAGAGAGAGTGTCTGGCCGGCTTAACGTCTCTGGGATCTTGAGGAGAGGCATGACATGTTCAAGTGAAGCTTTAGACATGTTTTCAAGAGCTACGGTGATTTCAGGGTTGCAATAGATTTTCTTCTCATCCATGTCTAGAATGTGGAGTCCACTCAGAGAGGTCACTCTACTCAGAGCAACGTAGGCCATGCCGGGTTCAAAGATGTGTTTCAGTGAGACCACGGCCGAGGACGTTGTCATCCCTTGAACTTTGTGTATTGTACACGCAAAAGCGAGCTTGATGGGAAACTGTCTTCTGACAACTCCTGTCTGTTTTAGATTCTCCTCGTCTCTGTCAATGTACACAATGTTTTCATCCACATCTGCTTCGCTGGCTGCTGCACTTTGACTGTTAAGTTTCAGTCCGAGTTTTTCAACGTGCGGATTTCCTGCTTTAGTCACTATTTTTGCAATGCGTGCAAATGTTCCATTGCAGAGACCTGACTGCACATTTATATTTCTAGTTATCATGACATTAGCACCGATGGCCACTTTTATCGAGTCAGGCAACTCCTTTTTGTTTCCTTGAAAAGGTACACTTTGTCTTGTCATTCTCCCGGTGGTTGGATCTTTTTTGTAGTCGTCCGCATTTATTGTGGTGACGTCGGAGTGAAACATGTCCAGTGTTTTTGAGTTGTGTTCCTCAACCTGTTTGTTTGTTGCATAAACATGCAGTACGTCTTTTGGACATTGAGCCGGGTCAGCTAAGGCCCGTGAATGCAGAACTCTGTCTTCATGAGACAAAGACACTGTCTTTTCTTTGGCACGGATTCAATTCAGTGTCTCAGCAAAAGCGACATCATCTTTCTGACGCATGATTTCGGTCAGTGTGACCATCTGGAAGTTGTCACGCCAGAGGTCGATCTGAGTCGGGTCGAACACACAGAGGTTTCGACTGTCTGACAGGTGGTAGCTGGTAGAAATCTCCAACAGTGAGAACTGACATTCCACCAAAAGGTCTCTGACTTCCTTTGATTTGTTTCAGTCTCGCATCCACGTAGGCAAAGAGATGTTTGGAGACCATGGAGACTTCATCAATGATGAGTATCTCTGCATTTGAAAGCTCTGCCCTGACTTCATCAAGTTTGTTACCAAGACCTTGGAAAGGAGGCTTGAGACTTCTGGGCAGTTTCAAGAGACAATGCAATGTTGTGCCTGAAATGTTGAATGCTGCAGTACCAGTGAATGCAGACAATAGAACAGTAGGTTTAGAGATGTCTGCTTCCTCTGCATTTCTTGGAAGTCTGCTGAGTATTTTAGATGCCTCTGCATGGATGCATTTGATGAGGTGATACTTACCTGTTCCAGCGCCACCATTAATGTACAAGAAGAACTACTCTGGTTTTAAACCACAAACACATTTCAAGCACCACTCCCGGATGGCGTGTAAAACTGAAGCTTGCGTTTGGTTCAAGTTCTGATACATCTCACGCAGCACCACAGGATCAATTTCAGGGGCTTCAATCGTGACTGCAGATTCTTGCCTCACGTCTGACCTCACATTGTAGTCGGGAACATTCTCCTGCACGTCTTCATCAGCTTCTCTTGCATTTAGTTCATCTAAACACTCGAGCTCACTCTCAGGCGCCAGGTTGCCCCATTCATTTAGCAACATTCCTCTTTCTTCAAACTCTTGAATGGCACTGTCAATGTCCTCACGGTGTTTCTCATGTTTTTCTCTGTTGCGTTTCACAATTACCTTCACGCGCTCAGGATGCCGTCATCCAGGTAACCAAATGGTCATGGACAGACTGGTAAGTTGGGAAGTGGGTTGATTTCAGCAGGTTTTCTGAGCGATAAGGCACAGTTTAAGCAGTGTGCCATAATACTGCTCTGGATCTTTCTCAAGGGAAATGGGTCGATATTTGATGACAGCATGTTTTTCATCATTTGCTCTCTTCTGGACAAACCCCATCTCATTCAGCAGGCGATGAGTGCTTTTGCCTTTTGTCTGCTTGCCGTAGACTATTCTGCAGCTCGATGCAAAATCTGCCAAGCACATTGCCTCAAAGTCTGGTGTTTCTGGTCTGCATACATACTTATCAGGTAACCCCGTCATCCACACATGTTCCGATTCTGAAGGTTTGTTGTCCAGGTGGGACAAGGGGTAACTCATTTTCAGTGCATTGTCATCTGTCTGCACAAACACCACGTTGCGTGAACACTGCTTCATGTGTAGACCGCATGCACGAGCCACACGCTCCTGAGCGCTTACCTCTCTTTTTTTGGAGTAGGCCTGCATTATTTGTTTCATTTCATCGCTTTCGTTTACATCTTCCTGACGTGAGTTTTGTATCACCGATTTCAGATATTCACTCAAATCATATTGAGTAATCATATTCCGCCGAGCTGATGTAGCTGCACATGTACATGATACAGGAGTATGGGTTGAGAATGAATTGGATATCCATGTTGGCATTCCAGGCTTTCAGAAGGTAGGGGTTGTAGCCATTTACCCAAATATCTTTAGGACCACGCTTCAGCATCACTTGACTGCCATTGGTTTTGCTCTGCAAACACCTGTGGTATTCTTTGTTGGTGAACTCACATTTTGCCAAAAGCTGTTCAAAGCTGAGCGATGCAGTCGTAGGTTCATGAAGCAGCCTGTTCAGTGTTGCAAGCTTTTCTGTCAATGCCAGGTCTGTTGCTTCATCCACAATTGCCCCCGGTCTGATTATTGTGGTTTTTGGGACAGGTTGTTTGGGAAATCCGAAACGACAGTTTGCACCACTGTATTTCACACATGTCACACGTGGTTTTTGCTGTGCATCTGAACTTCTGTGACTATTTTGTATAGTTCTGGGTCATCGTTTTCATCAGGCAGCTCAGCTTTGATGAATCTGGCCACGAACTTACACACCTCCTCATCAGAGCATTCTTCAAACACAGGTGCGCCTGCCACCCATACCATACCGTGAATGTGTGGGCTTCCTCTGTGCTGAAACTCGAGCCGATAAAAGTAGTCGACAACTTTGCCGATAGGTTGTGCGGGGGACAGGATCGGGGGCCTCATGTATCAACACTGCCGGCGCCAGCAAACCTTGCGTACGCCAAGATCGGC